TTTTTTTTTTTTTTTTTTTTGTTACGTTGCGCTGGCTGGTCCCTCCGACCCCCCCCTCCACCCCCTGGCTACCATAGCCGTCCAACGAGAACGCGTTGCCAGTTCGACCATTGGGTGCTTCGGTTGTGTTGTCAAGGTTGTCAACGGCCCGGTAAGAGGGGCCGGGGGTGCCAAAGTGCGAAGCATTTCGGAGTTCTTCATTGGTAGGGGATATCGGCAGCAAGCGGGTGGCCGTCCCGGCCGAAAAGTATGAAAGGTACGAAGCCGAAGAGGGCGAGCGGCAGGGAAATGGATGGGATGGACCTGTCAAAAAGCTCCCAGCCGGATGGTTTCTTCCTTATCCCGGGGCGGTTTCGAAAAATTCCACCTTGTCTGTGTCTCTCCATTCGGCTGCCGTGTCGCACAGCAGCTAGGATGGATCATGGCGCTACGTCTGGGGCTATGGAAGGTGTATTTCGTACCTCACGACGCAGTTCTATATGTGGTTTGCCTTCGGAGACGAAGTCTGTGCAGCTGCATGATGTCGATGGCCGGGCTGCAGTTGGCCTACTAAATTGGGCGAGGCGAGGCGAGGCGAGGCGAAAAAGTGATCGCAAAAGATGATCGAGGTGATGCCCCTCTTGCGTGCGTGTGTTCTTGTCGTCGTCCCGTTCAAACGGAGCGGTCAATCTGTGTTATCTAACTTTTTTGAGAGAAAATGAAAAAGCGAGACATCGGATTCCCGTTGGTACGGTTCCCGGACCCAAAGCGGAAAACCGTTTTCAAAGATATGCGAAACGCCTTGAGATCTGAGACAACCCACCGAAAGTTTGACAGTGGTGTTTCCTTTTCGGCCAACATCAGAAAATCCTGTTGCTTGTTCCTGCTCGTTAGCCATTGAATCCCGGAGAGAGGAACTGCTTCTGCAGCAGAAATGACAACGCGCAGCAATTAACAGCTCGCGCACATCCAAGATTCCAAAAAAACGGCCCGAGGTTCAAGAAGCTCCCGCAGCTTGCTGCAAATCACAAGCAGCATTGTGTGCAGTTGCGGCCAATGCAATCGAGAAAGCCAAGCAGCCAAGCTTCCCAAAGCAACCACATAAAAAAGTTTGAATGGACTTTCTGGTGGGTGGCCCGGACGAATTATGTGAGGTCTGCAGATGGACGGGAGCGGGCGGGGGGTGATTGATGGCCCCAAGTGGTCGCGAGATGGACGAAATCGGACAGATGGGGAAGCGAAGGGAGAAAAAAGATCCCGCCCCACCAGAGCTTTTTCGCGCCAAGTGGGGTGCACCCTGGTCCCCCTCGCCTGTCCACCGAGCCCGCTAAAAGAGAAAGCCGAGACCCAAAATCTGGACTCCTCAGTGGATGGTGCTCGGGCCATGGACTTTGCCCAATCGTGGATCAAGTTCATTGCGCTGATGATGTGCGGCCAGATGCAAAAGATGCAGTTCCATACCATGGTTGGGGATGCTGGGAGAGCAAGGGGAAAGGAACTACACTACACTAAGAACAGCTAAGCAACGGGGAGAATCGGCGAACTGGGGGGTTTCCTCTGTTGTGGCGTTATCTGATGAAGGAGATGTTGCTCCTGAACCGGCGCTTTCTCCAAGGAATAAGATCTATCTCTCTCTCTTCTTGAATCAACCTGCCTCTCTTTATGAGAATTGATATCCGGTTCAGCCACCGAGTTGGTCCTCAATTGGGCTAAATCTCAGAGACAGCAAGCAGCACAGTACACAGTAGGCAACTACAATTGATGTGACAAACCCCCTCTTGATATACACCGTGTGAAAGAGGAACTTTGCAGAATTGGAGAAGACGGACCGACCAACACATGCAAAACAGACAACCGAACCGAACTTGGCCGAAACCCCTCACTGTCAACCCCAATTGCTAGCAGTACAAAAGTAACAAAAGAAAAGAACCATCTCCCTTTGTCCTCACAAGAAGAGATATGTCTACAAAGTATGCTCCAGGGCTTATCCCCATCCTCAACCGATCCGATCTCTCTTCCTCAAAAATATGGAGGGTTGGGAAGTTGGGAATCGACCAACTGTACTAGATGTCCGGACCGATGTACACCTGTGACCGGGCTGTTAGTCAAGTTATGCGTTGTCCAGATGGATGGATGGAACCAGGCGTGCCAGGGAGGGGGGGGGACCCCGGACGACAGGCGTTGATCCAATGGATCTAACTGGACAAGGGTCGGCTTTCGCACTTTGGGGTCTGTCTGTCTCTCCACCAGCGAGCGCAACGATCTGATTCTGCAATGGGGAGGGCGGAAAAACGCCATTGATGAAATAGCAAGGGACAAGGGGGCAAGGTGCGAAGGTGCAATGGCAATAGTGATCGATCAATCAAGCATGGCACTACACTAGAGATGCAATCGCAGCTGGATCAATTTTTTGTGGTTTGATTTGTCCTTGTGGAAGCAAGTCTAGCTCTTCGACAGCCTCTTTTTTGGGGGAACTTTATTAGAGTTTTTCCTTTTAGGAGGCGCAGAGTGGGGGAGAAGGGGACAAAGGCAAAAAAGCCAGGCGGGTAAGGTGGTGCAAAACAACATCGTGTGAAACGCCCAAGGACGCCTGCCAGACCGTCATGATGCGAAATGCGTAAATGCAGTCACAAATCCTCCCCTCCCATCTCGCCAGCCCGCTGTTCGCCTTAACCCATGATGTATGCCCTCCACGGCCATCCACCGACTCCTCGCCCTCCCTTCGCCCTCCCTCATCCCTTTCCGTTCTCCCACAGACCTCCTTCTCTTCTCCTCGACCTGGGTATCCAAGACAAATGGACCAACGGGGTCCGAATCGATCCCAAAAACACTGCCACTCTCCCCCGTCATGGTTTCCGAGCCCTATCCTACCGCAAAGCGCCGGGCGCAACCAGTGCCTTTCCCAAGAGACTCAATTCAAGGAAAATAGACAGCAAAGGAAACGTGGGTGCAAGTCCTCTTCGTGACTCGAACTCGGATGGATATTTACGCCCCAATGATGCCCTGTTTTGGTTTATGCGCCGTTCGCCATATGGGAGAGTCGGTATGTGTTTGTGTGTCGTCCATAATAAAAAAAAATAAGGGAAAATAGTAAAGAGATGATGTTTGGGTATGATAGCATGAAAAATGAAAGTTGCGCCAGTCGCAATAGCTGCCCGGAGATGTGTCGGGGGCCGTCATCATTGCGTATTCTGCGTGAGGCTGCACGTCGTGTCCCGTCGCAAGAAGAAAGGCCGACACCGGTGTTTGATTTTAGACTGTCGTTGCTCATAAGATTACACAACCTCCCCTGCGACGCTCGCCACGTTCCCATCGGTGGCGGCCCTTCTCTGGCTGGACGGTTGAGTCGGAGCGCCGAGAAGACTCGTACTTGCTGCTGTTCGTGGGCGAGTGTGGCTGCGCTGAGGCCTGCCGTTGTCGCCGCAGGATCCGGACGACGTCGTAGAAAGCCTTGTCGACGTTGATGTAGTTCTTAGCCGAGGCCTCAACGAATTCGCATCCGAGTTCGCGCGCCAGCGCGTGGCCCTCCTGTGTCGAGACTTCGCGCTCGGCGATACGATCGCTCTTGTTGCCCACGAGCATGATGGGGACGGGCGCGGACGGGTTGACCGCCGAGATCGGTGAGCCTGGATATGACGGGGACGAGGCTGTTGACTCCTTTACCCTTTGGATTTGGTGGTGGAACCGCTTGATGCGCGTGAAGGACGATCGGGACGAGATGCTGTAGACAAGGACGAAGCCTTCGCCATCGCGGATCCACTGGTCTCGGAGCGCGGTATACTCTTCTTGCCCTGCCGTATCGAGCACCTCCAGCATGCAGGCTTGATTGTCTATCACGGCTTGCTTGCGGTACGAGTCCTCAATGGTCGGGTCGTACTGGAGAACATTGTGTCAATGGGTTGTCCAAAGCGGAACCCCCGCGGGAGCGGGGAATATCTTGCGATGGGAGAGTGAAAGGAGAGTAGGGAGCATACCGTTTCGACGAAATGCTGCAAGCAAAGCTGAATTGTAAGAGCCGTTTTTCCTACGCCACCATCTCCTAGCACCACCAATTTGTATAGCACCATCTTGCCCGCCATTTTGAACAAGGTTTTGGAAGGTTACCGCTTCGTCGAACCGGTGTTTTGCGGAGCTGGGTGTAATTGATTATCGGCTGGGCTGCTGCGGGCGAGAATGCGAGCTCCAGCGAAGGAGGAAGCTAGTATCACCCGGTGAGGGGCTGGGGGGCCAGGATTCCCCAAGAAGAACAGGTGAAGAATCGAAAATAAGAAGTATTAAAGGAGGAAGCTGCAGCAGAAGGGTAATAGCGACAGCGGACAGTTCCCTTAGCCGACTCGACTTAGAGCGGGAGCAGTGTGGCCGATGATAGTGAAGGGCTGGTGGGAGAATTGGAAAAGGACCCTCGACGGCGGCGAGATGTCGGTGGTTGGTCTGAATCCTCGCTGGAAGAGGAAAAGAAAGACGGTTTGGTAGGAAGTTTGAGGATGATTCGGGGCGTGAAGAGGGGGATGGCGGTGGACACGGAAGGCCAGCCCTTTTGGTGATGGGGAGCTGTGGAGCAATCGTTGGACCACGACTCTCTTGTCTCTCTTCAGCCCAGGAGGTATTTGCCGGTGGTAGGGATGGCACTGTTGTTACTGCTGGGCCAGACCCAAGGCGGAGAAGCAAGAAGAGGAGTTGACGAGAGAAAGTTTGAGTCCGAACTTGGCTCGGAGGACCGTTTGGTGGTTAAACGTTATCTGGTGCCGGGATGATGATGGCGAGAAAGCCGGGTGGGCAGAGGACAAGCAAGCGTGCACGGGCAGCGGATTGATTCAAGAGACTTTGTGACGGGCGAGGACAAGGTGCCCTTAGCTTTTCATGCTATTTGGCGGGAGCTTGGGGTGAGGAGGTGGGGAGAGAGGGGGAAGACAGGGCCTGGGGTTGCAACAATACAAAAGCATCCTGGGCTAGAGCCAGTTTTAAAAAGGGGAGGGACCAAGAGAGCAAAAGAAACCGACCAAGTCGGCACCTGTCTCGTGCCCCGCCAACACCTGCCCACAGCATGTGTGTAATTTTTTTCCCTCTTTCACACACTCTCTCTCTTCTCCTCTCTGTCTCTCCCTTCCATTCGGTAGGAGTGGGATGGGCGTCGGACCGCCCGGGGAACCTGGAAGAGGGTCTTGGTCACTCGGCACTGCGCATCACCAACCTGGGAGAAAACGGGGGTTGAGGTACTGTATCCCGTGGCCGCCTTGTGAGTTCCTCACCAGGCCAGCGATCTGCTTGGTCCAAAGGAGAAACCAAAGTAAAAGCAAAGCAGAGGCAATTGGCTCGTGCACATGTGGAGGGCCGCAGCGGTCCACGCCCAGGGAAGCTGCCCTCCTGCCCCAGTCTTGCCCAGTCCCACTCCGTCCTAGCAAGCAGCGAGGGCAGCTCCTGCCTTTTCTCCCCCCACTCCACCTGGCGGGCCGGGGGAGCTCCCGCACCGCACCTGCCATCGACCGACCAAGCTCCCTCATTGGAATTCTTCTCCGTTGGCTGCAGGATGCGAGCAAGGGCGTTTGCATTCGGCGGGACTTGCCAGTTGCCACAAGGCGAGCGGTCCGCAAAGACCAGGTCGGCCCAAAACGTGCAGCCAATCAGCCAATCCCTGACCCCGAATCGGCCCCGCGGTTGCTGTTTCCAGTTCTGGTGCAAGCGGGTCGTCCAACCACGCAACTCGAAACTCCGACTCGACTTCAGAAGCTCCCTTCTCTTTTTTTCCCTCCGTCTCTCGAGTTGTGCGCCCATGCACAAGCAAACGAGATGTGTTTCGAGACAGGCCGCAGAACCCGATCGATTTAGGCATGACCGGATGAGGTCTTGTCTCGTTTCGTCGGGCCACGGACCACGGGATACGCTGGCTCTCACGCAACCCGGCTCTCACGTCAACTCCAACTGCTCCTCTTATCCGTCCCGTAGGGATGATATCCCCATATCCCCACATTTTGGGCTGATTGTTTTCCTTTCCGTCCATCACGCCTCGCACGCCCCTCCTCCAGTGCAGCTAAATGCACCCCAGCTTTCCGGCACACCTGGTCCCGCCCGGTCTTTTCCAATATTTCAACACGGCTACTGTGTAGGATTAAGAAGGAGCTTCACCCCGTGCCGGGAATTAATTTTCCTGAAAGGCTTGTGCACGGTAACGTTAATAGGCCGGCGGCTTGGCCTCGGACCATCTCGACGGCCATCTGGCTCATCGGAATTCCGCAATGACAACCCGACCAGGCAAGAAAGGCTAAAAACTTGGGAGGGCAGCCGAACGCCTTCTTGGGCCTCAACCCAGTTGGACGGGGCTTGTGGGTAAAACAGTCGTGCGGTTATGAGCGACGCGCGCTTGTTACTTTTGGGGAGAGGGGAATGGGGGCGGGGCTCGGATGGCGGTGCCGACCCGTTGGGGCAACACAGCGCGGCCAGAGGCGGCCTCGACCACCCATCGTGCGTGGCTAACTGCAGGGTCGGGGCAAGAAATCAACGTCAACTGACCCCTAGAAAACGGCTCAAGTCTCGGCAAACCAGTCGAATCGAGCTTGATCCGGAGGCAATGAGGGAAAAAAAAAGTGACAGACAGCAGTCAGAACAAACGACAACGTTACAGACGGCTTCCACCCGCATTTGGCCTGTCCGAGGTGTGCAAGTTGCCTCTCGACATTTTACCACCACCTGGCGAAAGTCTCGGATTTCTTCCCGTCTTCGGTCTTGGAGTAACAGCGGGCTAGCGTGGTGCGTTGTTACAGCCCTAAGCCAGACGTATTCGATATCCCGTTCTATTCATACCGACCTACCAAACTTAGCCTCACGAGTGGAAGACGTACCGCCATGCAGCCGCGCAGCGGTCGCAGCTCGCGGCCTCTTGTCACCCGGGGTACTGGGTACCCGCAGCGGGGAATTATGGCCCCCCATGGCGGCGCCAAGAGATACCTCCGGCGTGGTTCTCGTACGGACCGGAAACCTGCACTGGTCCGACAACAGCTTGGGGGCGTTGCTGTCCACTAGACTCGCCCTATCAGCCGTGGTCCGTCCCACAAGGCTGGCTGACGTTGCGCTTGCGTAGATGTAGCGGACCTAGTAACGTCGTACATTTGACGACCACGAGCAGCCTCGAGGGGGCCCGCTGGGCGGGTGTATGTTCGTACAGCAGCAGCAAGGCGGCCTGGGTCGGTCGTAGAAGCCGGACATGGTGTATACCCCTCCTAGGCGTGATACAGGCCAACGGGTCGCGATGACAGCGTTCTTCCTGGCAGAGGTCTCTTCCTAGTCAGATTTAGTGCTCGGTCCGCTCCGGACGTGACAGGGCGGGAGACCCGCAGCGTATCCCTTGGGCGGGCCCTTTCGGCGCGAGGAATGAGCGGTCCTGACGATGTAGTGTACTCCGTCAGGCCACTCTATTTTCCATGCGTGGCCTTCATACCGCCCGGGCCGGAATGAGACCTGGTTGGGCTGGAGATAGTCGAGGTCGTAGACCGAGGCTTCCGAGCGAGCACCCCCGGCCAAGCAAGGGCTCGTGGAAGAATGCCTGGCGGTTTTCGGTATTCGAGAACGTAGACCAGACCGGACCAGGGTTTCTTCGGCACGGGCGCCGAGAATATCGGTCCCTGGCTGTGTTCCGCCAACACGTGAAGCGATGACGAAGTGTAGGAGGTCGTCGTGTATGAGGTTGCTTCAAAAAAGGCCGCTGAGACGCGCATCTTGTCAAACTCGGCTCGGTGTTGGAATTGCACAGGGCGCAAGAGCCACGCATGTTGTCTGGTTTGTCAAGAATTGCATCTCGATGTTTCGGCCCGTGAGACAAGATCCGACGTTGAAAGAAGGGCACGTGGCGGCAACGCTTCGTCCCATTGTTCCACTGGGGGCTCGAAACTTTCTTATACCTGTCTTACGAACATGGGTGGTGTCAATCGACCCCTGGCTAAGAGAGAAGCCTAACCCAGAGGGACACCGAGCACCTCCTTCGATGTGACATGGGCCGTCGTTTCTCCGGTCGTGACGACTTCAACGTCGGTTTCTCGGTCGTGGACGATTTCTCAATACGGCACTTTTACCAAAGAATCACGAGAGCCCGGGATATGGAACGTGTGATGGGACAACGGTTGAATCAGCGATGATTAAAGCGAGGGCAGATCTCTGTGACCCCCGACGCCACAGATGAAATCAGGATTAGCCCGGCCACAACGGTTTCAAACGTGGCATCACCGACGACGCTATCCCGGGGAATGGAATAAACTACGCAAGAGTCGGTGACGTTAGGACATTCTCAACTTTTAGGTCTCTCAATCGACGTCTCCTCAAGCTCCCAGCCGCGTGGCCACCTCCTCGAAGCCGCCTTCACCCTCGGCCACCCAGATGTCCACCCACTCCTTCGCCTGCTTGTACCGCTCCTCCTCCGGCTGCCACTCCTCCTCTCCCGGCCGCTCGACATAGATCGTCCGCATCCCGTACCGCCTCGCAGCGTCCACGTCCTTCAGATGCGCCGCGACCATCCCAACCTCGGCCGGCTCCAGCCCCAACGCCTTGCACGCGCCGAGATACACCTCCCCAGCCGGCTTGTACACCTTGAAGTCCTCCGCGCAAACGAACAACCCCAGTCCCAGCTGCGCGTGCGCATTCATGTCCTTTAGCAGCGCCGTGTTCCCATTCGACAGACTCGTCGTGGCAAACCGCGCATTCAACCGGCGCATACCGCCCACCACATCGTCCCACGGCGTCAGGAAATGCCACGCCTTGCTCAGCTCGTCCAGCTCACCTTCGTCAAACACCCCCTCCAACCCCCACTGTGCCAACAGCGTCGCCAGCCCTTCGCGGTGCACCGTGTCGATGTTCTTCCAGGGGGTCGTTCCCGGGACGAAGGAGCGCGTGAAGGCGCTGTAGACGCCGCGCCAATCTTGTGCGAAGCGGGCCCAATCGTCCCGTGTGAGGGATTGCAGGCGGGTTTGGGTGGCTGGGGCCAGGGTGAGGAAGGAGGGGGAGGTGAATTTGGCGGTGGCGGCTGCTGTGAGGGCTGCGGTGATGGAGGTGCGCCAGTCGACGGCTGTGCCGAAGAGGTCGAAACCCAGGCCTTTGATGTTGGTTAGGGAGGTGGGTTGAGATGTGGACATGGTGGCTGGGGGAATGAGCCTGGGAAGTTGGTAATGGTGAGTATGCGGTAAGTGGACTGATTGCTGGCGATTGCACCGTAAATACCGTCACAATAATAGGTGTCGGTGACTGTTGGTGATAATGTCGGTAAGTCGCCAAATCTTGGCCGAGAAAGCTGACTTGTGATTATCTTCGCCAAGCGACAACCGTAAGGTAATTAACCAAAAAGATAAACTTCGGTCCGCGTGGACAAAAGTATATTTGTATAATGTTCAAGTCTCTTGCAATGACTCGTAGTAGTAATTAGATTACCAGGGAAGCCCTTTCAACCAACAAGCACGACATCTCCTTCTTTTGTATTTGTCTTCCCGGGGGGAAACGAAACAAACCCGCGTATCTCCTTCGGTTCATCGAAAGCGAGCGATCCGAGTCCGATGGCGTATGACTCTATCTATCTCTTATTATTCGAGAAAAGCATGTGATACAAGAATCCGTGCTTGCTGTTTGGTTGCGGGCTTGTTTGGTGCATGTCAACCGCGCCCTTTTGGCTATTGGGGTCTGGTCAAGTGGGGACGGCACACTTGGGGGGATTAATTGAGTTTAACATTCTAAAGTGAGGTAGGATCGAGAGGAGAAGAGGGGGGGTTAAAGACCGGGCAAAAGCCGTGGATTTAGTGGTGTAGGGGGAGAGAGCATGACCCTGACGTCACGCTGCCAAGAAAATCCGGGCTGTTTGCCCGTGGGAAATCTACCACTGAAACGGTAGGTAAGTGAGAGAGGTTTCGGCGACTTTTATATTGTTGTTTTTTTGCTCTGTGGTCGATTCGGCCTTACACTATGATCGGAATTGACTGGCTTAGCTGAGTTCCCGTGAGTTGGTGACTCGTTAACGAATCTCAGTAATCGGGTACTCACACTAGATCGGCGATTTTAGCGAGTTTGTGCCCTGTTCATCTTTGTTTTAACAATTCTTCTCTTTTAGCTTTGACGCGTTCTTGGGTTTTCGTGGTCGCGTTCGTCTCAAGATAGTTCAGCCTGGACGTCGTCTGAAGATATCGTCTCAACTTTTTAGATTCGGCACGGTACACTACAAAGTCGCCGCGTGCGGAATCCTAACAAGACATAAAGACGAGCAGGCCACAGACGGGGGATCAACTTGGTATTTACAACCCAGCTTGTTTATAGACCTCGATACACCAGCCTCGGAGTTCACCACCTTCTCCTCAAACGCGTCGTTAGAAGATCTGCTCCATCCACGCTCCCACAAAATCAGAACGACACAATACCCCAAAATAAGAGACAGCGAGGCATCAGAGACGCACACAATTTCCCCAACCTCACATCACACCATGACGAACCACGTCCCACCCACCTCTGAGCCCGTCCACACCACTGGACCGCTGGCCTTCCTCCATCCTACTATCCGGTATCATCCCCTCGTCCCTCGATCTCAGCAGCCACAGGAGCAGGAGCAGGCCTCTCAACGAGGACAGCAACCTCAAGACTACGCCGACGTTACGGCCGCCCCTTCTACTACGGCTGCTGCTGCCGAGCCAGATTCCCAAATCCAGCCTCAGACTCAAACTCAGGGACAGCACCAACACCAACACGCAATCTACCACGTCTGGCGCAGCCGTGACAACCGAAAAGGCCGCCACCGTGCTGTCGTTTTCCTACCGCCACCGTCTAGCAAAAGTCCGGGAGCTTCCAAAGAGGGTACCGGCACGGGGAGTGGTATCACCGACGGGAAAACGACAGGCGTGGAAGTGAAGCATGAGGATGGAGGGGTGGATGTGTCTGTGAAGAAGGCGCAGCAGATGGGGTATGAGAGGAAGTGGCAACTGTGGGTGCGGCAGACGGGGGAGGGGCTGATGACGATGGTGACGATGTTTCCGGTGTGGGATGTTAGTTGGTTGGTGGCGGTTGTTTTTGTTTGGGGTGAGTTTTATTTTTATTGTTATTATTCTTTGATTTGGTTCGGTGTTTTGGGGGGGTTTAAGGGGGGTTGTGTTTTGTATATCTCCGGTGTTGTTTCTTTACATCTCTTTTGGTTTCCTGTGTTTTCACTTGTCCTACTTTGGAAGACGTTGAGGCAAGGGATTGTCGGCGGTATTCGAATCTATGGATGGGAGCGAGTTGAAGGGGAGGAGGACGTTGTGTTTGTACTCGGATGCCTTATTTCCCCCTCTCCTTTAACATCTCTCCGTTTTATATCTCCTTTTTTATATCCCCCCTTTTTATATCCCCCCTTTTTATATCCCCCCTTTTTATATCCCCCCTTTTTATATC